TTGTTCTGTAAGCCTTCACCCTGAAGTACAATTTAAAAAAAAAAAAAAAAGAGCAGAATAGACACAGAGACACATAGGGGAAAGACTGACGCCAAATAGGGCTACCAACAGCAAAGAACCTTCCACTAGAGGCACACGCTAATTTCAAACCTTTAGCCTCTTGAACTGTGAGGAAATAAATTTCTGTTCTTTAAAGCCACTCACTTGTGGTATTTCTATTACAGCATCACTAGGTAACTAAGACAGTATGCTTACTAAACAGATAACTGATAAATTAGGGAGCTATTACAAACATTAAAAAAAAAAATCCCTGCTGCCATCAAGTTGATGCTGACTCATAGTGACCCTATAGGACACAGTAGAACTGCCCCATAGGGTTTCCAACAAGCAGCTAGTGGATTCAAACGGCCAACCTTTTGGTTAGCAGCCAAAGCTCTTAACCACTGCGCCACCAGGGCTCCATCACAGACATAGTGTACCAATATTTCAGTAGTATAGTTTCCCTTTACATTCTTGAGTCAAAATTTGGGAAAATGAGCTAAATGAGGCAGTATTAACCAGAGACCCATGAATGGAACTGAGAGAAGGATTCACGAACTTGGATAGGAAAAAAAACTACATCTTCATTTTCATTAACTGTGGCTGAAATTTAGCATTTCCTTCAGTTATACATGTAGGCAACAAACCACTATAGATTGTAAGTACATATTACTTTGTCACCTATAGAAATTACGTATCATTTCATTTCATAACATAGTTGTTAAATGTATCTGGACATATTCACCACTGACATTTATCACTGCTACAAATTTATGGTAGTTTTCTGACCTGCCCGTAATTCTTGTTATTTAATCTAGAAATAAAGAAGAGCAGATACATTACTATTATCACAAATTGCAGTTTTTTAAATATTTTAAAACTATGTTTTAACATAATTTATTTGTTTTATAATTGTATGTAGTTTATTTTATATACTTAAAATAATTATTTCGAGAAGGGAGCCCTGGGCTTTGCCAGACTGTCCAGGATGCCCATGGCACCAAAAAAGTTATAAAAACCCCTGGGCAATTAAGTGAATCCATTATCAGTTGAGTACTGAATGAGGTTACCCAAAAAATGATACCTATTTATCCAAGGCCTCAAGATAAGATTAAACACACAACAAAAGATGGAAAAATACACCAATCTAGCTAGATTAATTTTAGCAGAACAAATATACAGTGATGAACTTAGACTAAAACATTTAGTTAGATTTCCAAATCCTGGCAGTATGTATGAATACATATCCAGAACTACCCTTTTTCTAAAAGAAACTCAAGTGGTGGAGAAAAAACAAAAACAAACAGCAACAGCAACAAAAAAGTACTGAAAAACACTGAGAATAGGTAAGACAGTTAAGGATTTATCAAACAAAGAATCAAATTGAAGGTATAAACTAACAGATTTAGGTGGGACCCAGAAAATTTTTATCCTGAAAACATTTGTTGAACCTGGTAAACTTGAGAATTACTTTTCATAGCCTTAGAGCCCTGGGAACAGATGACAAAGAGGTGGAGTTTAACAGGAATTCTCCTCATAAATCCAGGATCTCAATGGATGGATACTCAAAGGAAAGGTGATCCAGAAGTTAAAACTTTCTGTCTCAAAACCCCACCCATATATAGGGGAATACAGGAAAAGGTATCCTAGCTTTGATAAAAATTAGGAGGAGATATTATCCTTGCAAATTGTAACCATAATATTGTCCTCAAATGGAATTTTAGTCCAGTATTTCTTGGATGTCCAGAATACCTCTATCAATCAATTTACTTAAAGCAGCCTAAAAACATGCCCATGGTACCTGGCAGAAGAAAATAAAATTCTTCCCTGAATGAAAGTCCATTTATCCCAGGTTTCAAATAGTTTCCCCAGATAATTTTTCAGGAAAAATCAGCATCTCACAATACAAAATCACAAAGCATTAAAAGAAACAGATCACTATAAGTAAGATCCAGCAGAAACAAATAAAATTAGAAAAAATTAAAGCATTACTAAAAATGAAAGCGATCAACTTCATGTAGATAAATTTTATTCTGCATGTAAATATTCTCAAAATTTATAAAGAAAAAAATGACTAATATATAAGAAGTATGCAAATTTACTTTTATAATAAGGCATTTTTCAGTATTTCTCTAAATAATTGTTAGAGCAAGATGACAAAGGAGAAAAATAATCCATTGAGGATACCAAAGATTCCAAGTACACGATTAACAAATGTGGCCTAACAGATATGTATGCTGTGGTTGTTGTTAGGTACATGCCATCAAGTTGGTTCCAACTCATAGTGACCCTAGGTACAACAGAACAAAACACTGCCCGGTCCTGTGCCATTCTACAATCATTGTTTTGCTTGACCCCATCACTGCAGCTACTGTCAATCCATCTCACTGAGGGTCTTCCTCTCTTTTATTGACCCTCTACTTTACCAAGCATGATGTCCTCCTCTAGGGACTGGTCTCTCTTGATAGCACGTCCAAAATATATGAAATGAAGTCTCACCATCCTCGCTTCTAAGGAGCGTTCTGGTTGTACTTCTTCTTCCAAGACAGATTTGTTTGCTCTTTTGGCAGTCCATGGTATATTCAACATTCTATGCCAGCACGATAACTCAAAGGTGTCAATTCTTCTTTGGTCTTCCTTATTCATTGTCCAGCTTTTACATGCATATGAGGCAACTGAAAATACCACGGCTTGGGTCAGGCGTACCTTAGTCCTCAAAGTGATTATTTTGCTTTTTAACACTTTAAAGAGGTCTTTTGCAGCAGATCTGCCCAATGCATTGCTTGATTTCTTGACTGTTGCTTCCACGGGCATTGATTTGTGGATCCAGGTAAAATTAAGTCCTTGACAACTTCAATCTTTCCTCTGTTTGTCATGATATGCTTATTGATCCATTTGTGAGGATTTTTGTTTTCTTTATATCGTGGTGTAATCCATATTGAAGGCTGCAGTCTTTGATCTTCATCAGTAAGTGCTTCAAGTCCTCTTCACTTTCAGCAAGCAAGGTTGTATCATCTGCATATCACAGGTTGTTAATGAGTCTTTCTCCAATCCTGATGCCCTGTTCTTCTTCACATAGTCCATCTTTTCAGATTATTTGCTCAGCATACAGATTGAATAAATATGGTGAAAGGATCCAACCCTAACACACCTTTCCTGATTTTAAACCACGCAGTATCCCTTGTTATGTTCGAACAACTGTCTCTTGGTCTAAGTACAAGTTCCACATGAGCACAATTAAATGTTCTGAAATTCCCATTCTTTGCAATGTTATCTATAACTTGCTACGATCCACACAGCAGAATGCCTCTGCAGAGTCAATAAAACACAGGTAAAAATCTTTCTGGTATTCTCTGCTTTCAGCCAAGATTCATATAACATCAGCAATGATACCCCTCATTCCACATCCTCTTCTGAATCCAGTTTGAACTTGTGGCAGTCCCCTGTTGATGTACTGCTGTAACCGCTTTTGAATTATCTTCGGCAAAATTTTACTTGCTTGTGATATCAATATGTATAGATATGAAAAATAATGCTTTTCAAGCATTTATGGAACATTTTTAAAAAATTTACCATATATTGAGCCAGAAAGCCAATCTCAACAAATTTTAAAGCACTAAAATCATACAGGCTATCTCTATAGTATTCTATTTATTAAAAACAATCGAATCTGTAATTTAAAATCTTCCTACAAAGAAAATTGCAGACTAAAATGATTTTACTCTTAAATTCTGCCAAACATTTAAGAAGGAGATAACATTCAATCTTACACAAACTCTTCCAGAGACTAAAACAAGAGGGAACTTTTATTTTCTGAGGCCAATACATCAAAATTTGAAACTCAGGACAAGAATGGAAAATGACAGGTCAATTTCTATCATGAACAGAGGTTCAAAAATTCAAAGCAAAATTTTTGCAATTAACTAAAATGTAATTACTAGATATGAACTTTCTAAGTGTAAAATAAGATTACTGTGTTATATACATTTGTCTTTAAAGATTAAAGTACCAAATTAGTTTACATTAAACTGTACTCAGTGTAGAAACATAATAACGTTAAGGTTAACTTTATTAAAATCGCTTTAATAAAAATAAAAGTTTAGTACAGGGTACAGTACTTTATTCACCACTGTTAATACTGGCATTTACCTGTTGCTGTCTTATCACGAAATTCTTCAAGTTTTGTCAAAGTTGCTGAAGTCAGCTGTGTCAGGTGTACATCTTTCGGAGGCCTGAAGAATTCCACTATACTATTCACTGTTCTCTGTTAAAATAAGCATGATTAACGTGAAGCACAAACTCAAAGCAAATTGAAATTTTAAAACTTGGTAATTAAAAAATGCTTACTGCATCATATATCATTTCTAAAGGTTCAGCTTCTATGATACACCTTTGAGCAACAGTTTCATCTAATGGATTTATCTCAAATATAATTTGGAAGAGAGAGGTAGCATCATCCAATGAAGACAGAAGACGAGGTTTTGTTAAATCATCTGGTAAGCCAGTAACATGAAATGAGTCTATTTTGGTTTCAAATCTGCATGAAAAAGGATAGCACAAAAATCAGCAAGCAATACAATTTTAAAACATTTTTCAAATGGACAATGACAAAATAAAAATAAATTGTAAACAATTTCACTTTGCATTTCCTGTTACTCCATTCCATTTACATCAAAGAAATTTAACAACTATTCCTTCTAAAGTGATATAGACTAATTCACAAAGACCCCTATTTGTATGATGATCTCTAGGTGAAAAAAGATATGACAAGTTAATGTTGGACGTGTTTACTGAGCAATAACTTTCTTCCATCCCCAACCCCAGCACCACGTTACAAAAGGTCTATACGAGGTGGGTGAAGCCAAGAAGCAGGGGGCTTCTTTTTCCCTCAGCAATAAGTCTAGGGCTACAGTTTCACCAAAAGAAGAGTAGGCATCCTGCATTTCTCATCTCTCCCATCTCAGCTACGTGTTAAAATCTAAAATAAAAACAACAGTAAATTCCTGCAAGGCTTAATCACTGTAAGGTTGGAAAGTCGCTCATACCTAAAATATGTTTATAAGCAGTCCCTATCTGTGAACAGAAATAAAGAAAAAACAAGCACCAGGGCAGGAATTCTAGAATGGTTGCTTGAGTAGTTCAGGCACCCTCTCTCCAGCAAAATTATCAGTGAAACAACTGGTGAAAAATCTAAGTCTCTGGAACTTGACCTAACAGTACACAGCAAACATTTATTAAAGAAAGTTTACAAAATATTGATAAGAACAGGGAGAGTTTGTGGCAACTGAGCAACAACTTTCTTCCATTCCCACCCCCAGCACACGTTACAAAAGGTCTATACAAGGTGGGCGCAGCCAAGGAGAGGAGGACTTCCTCTTCCCTCAGCAATAAGACCAGGGCTACAGTTTCACCCGAAGAAGGGCAGGCATCCTGCATTTCTCATCTCTCCCATCCCAGCTACGTGTTACAGAAGCTCTAGTCCAGGCAAGCGCAGCCAAGTAAACTGAGGTTTCCTTTCTCCACCCAGCTCCCACGCAGAGTGAGGGCTTTGATGCAGGTGCAAAGGCTGAGAATACTAAGGCCTCTATTTTGCCTTCACCAGTTTGCTTGTAAGGCAGACATTCCATGCCAGAAAAGGCAAGCACCCTCCAGTGTCTGCCTGTGTAGTAAGGCTGTCAATCTGAGATAAGTCAGCTGCTATATCACTTACAGACTGCAGTGGGGCTGAGGTTCTACCCAAGAGTAGAAACAGGCTGAAAGAACTAGCAGCTCTGCCTGAGAGAACTGACATCATTTAGAACAGAGCATGAAGAAGTTCATGGGTAAGAACACTGTCCAAAACAATGGAGATCTTGGCGGCTTGCAACTGGTCAGAATCAACTCTACGTTAACGGGTTTGGTTTTGGTTTTTTGGTATGGCTCCATAAGGAGCCCTGGTGGTGCAGTGGTTGAGTACTTAGCTGCTAACTGAAAGGTCAGTGGTTCAAACCCACCAACCACTCCATGGGAGAAAGATGTGGCAGTCTGCTTCTATAAAGATTTACAGCCTTGGAAACCCTATAAAAAAAAAAAAACCCAAACCGACTGCTGTCAAGTCTATTCCACATAGGGTGGTTCTACTTTGTCCTATAGGGTCATTATGAGTCAGAATTGACTGAATGGCAACGGGTTAACAGGTTAGTAGCCCCTTGAAACTAGATGCAAAAAGTGAAGGCAGACCAACCAGATGTTGAACAGAGAGGACTGGGGAAAGAGACATCCAAGTAGAGCCCTACCACGATCTCATTCATCCTACAGGTAGGAAAGCCTGTGGGATGCACTAAGCTCCATAAATTAAAAAAGAAATTAGAGTTGCACTAGGCGCTGACTGGAAAGTAGTTCCCAAGACACAAACAGATCCATACACAAAAGGCAGAAACTATACTGGCTCAAGCACAATCTTTTATCAATTTCTGAACAATAAGTTACTCTAAACCAGAGGTGATTCATAGGAAGCAGGATTAAAATAAATTCACACTTATCTAGAAGACTGTAAGCATACGTAGAGCTATGCCCTCTCATGAGCAAATGCAGAGGAAACAACTGAGCTCCTAGTCCCTGGATGAACACTAGGCAAAATCACAATCTCCTTGAAATATAAAAGCAATCTCCAAACCACATACAGATCTAATATAGTAGGTGTGATAATCAGGGGCTTAAGCACAACCTCTCACCAGTAAGTGAATTATGCTGACACAGGGAGAACCTCTAGAAAGGCAGGTTAAAAGATAAATACAGGTAGTCCCCAACTTACGCCGTATTTGAGTTGCAATGAACCGCACTTATGACCACCTGTTTTGTTTTTTTTTGTACCTCTTATTGTTAACTACATACAATGTTGCAGCACGTAATTTGCTGATGTTATCGTTCTCATGCCAACCCTCAAATCAAACAAAGACTGGATTTATAAAGATATTGATAATAAAAGGCAATAACAATGAAAATGAAGAACAAAAATGAGGTATTCGACTTACATCAGAACTGGGATGGAACCCGTCATAAGTCAGGGGTTACCTGTACAAGGAAAAAATTTGGACAGGGACTATCACAGGCTACATACTACAAGGGAAATAGACTTCAAAGAATTAGTACAGCCAAGTCACTGAAATAAACAAATGGCCAAAACAAACAAACAAGTCTCAGGGTGGGCTGATGGGAATAAGTACACAAAATTGCTATAATATGTTATCAAAAATGCTCTGTTTTAAACACAAAATTATAGGACATGCAAAGAACAGGAAAGTGTGAACCATACACAGGGGGAAAAGTAGGTAATAGAGACTGTCTCTGAGGGAGCACAGATGTGGGACCGAGCAGACAAAGACTTCAAAGACCTATTATAAATACTTTAAAAAACTAAAGGAAATCATATTTAAAGAATGGAATAAAGGTATAATAACAATGATGCATCAAGTAGAGAATATCAGTAAAGTGATAAAAATTATTTAAAAAATAGAAATTCTAAAACTGAAAAGGACAATAAATGAAAAGTAAAATTTACCCAACACACTTGAAGACAGATCAATACAGGTTATGTAAGGAGGAGAAGCCAACATGGTGCACTAGACAGATGCACCATGCCATCTCTCTGCAGCAAAGATCTGAAAAACTAAGCAAAACAGCTACAAACGTCAATCCTGGAACCCTAAGCATCAAATGAAGGGATAAAGAACTAGATCAAATACCGAATGGAAGAAGAAACTGATGGAAACCAGAGAACAAGGAGAGATACTAAGTGGAGATCCCCCGCCAACTAACATGGCACAGCATCATCACCTTGGAACACAGACAACAATGATCCTGGACAGTGAGTAAGTAAAGGCAACTTCACTGAGCTTCCAACAGGAGAAAGAGGACCCAGTAATGAGAGTAACACACTTTTCCATCCCTCACCCTTATGGTAAGTAGCAGCAGGAACTCCTCCAGCCCAGGAGATCTCACTGCCGGGGTCCACAATATGAGCCCCACCCCTAGCTTGCCCCACCCCTGGCCCACCCATCCCCTCCCATTGCACCGCTTTTTTCCCCCCTCTCTTCTTTTTCTTTCTCCCTCTCACCTAGCCCCATGCGCCAACTCCCTCCCTTCTCACCGATCCCCATCCTCACCACCATGGCTAGAGAGCCACCAGCCCACCATTATCCTGAATCTGCCCTGTACCAATCCAATGGCTCCTGCCCTGCAACTTTGTTTTTTTTCCTCTTCTGTCTTTTCTTTCTCCCACCCATCTACCCCCTACATCACCTCCCCCTTCCTTCCCACTGGTCACCAGGTCCACCGTGCCCCCACTCACCAGCCCCCATGATGCCACTGTTTTTTTTTTATATAATTATTGTATTTTTTTTTTCTTCTCTCATTCTTCCTTTTCTTTCTCCCTCTCACCTAGCCCCATACGCCACCTCCAGACCCCTCCCAACAGCCGCCGCCAAGCCACTGAGGCTACAGAGCCACTGGCCTGCCACCTCCCTGGGTCTGCTCAACCCCACCTGCCAACTCCCACCATGCCGCCATATTTTTTCTTTCTTTCTCCCTCCCATCTAGTCCCATACATCACCTCCCCTCCCTTCCCAGCAGCCCACAGGTCCACCCAACCCCTAGTCACCAGTCCCACCACGCCTCTATTTTATTTTTGATTTTCTTTTTTCTCTTTCTTCCTGTGCTTTCTCTCTTCTACCTAGCCCTGTATGACACCCCAGCACCTTCCCACCGGGCCCTACAATGCCGCCACAGCTAGAGAGAAACTGGCCCACCGGCCCACCACCGCACCAGGTCCACATCATCCCCACCCACCAACCCCCATCGTGCAGCCATTTTTTTCCCTTTTTCTTCTTTCTTTTCTTTCTCCCTCCTACCTAGCCCCATACGTCACCTCCCTTCCCTTCCCACCAGCCCAAGTCCACCCCACCCACACTCGCTATCCTCTACCATGCCATCATTTTGTTTTTCTTTTTTTTTTTAATTTCTTCCTTTTCTTTCTCCCTTCCACCCAGCCCACTATGAGACATCGCTCCCTTTCCTATAAGTCCCCACCCGCTGCTGCCCCAGATCTGACCAAACCCTACAAGCAGGCACCCGCCACACTGCCATTTTTTTCCTTTCTAACTTTTCTTTCTCCTCCCCACCTAGTCCCATATCTCACTTCCTCTCTGTTCCCACTGGCCCCAGGATCCACCACACCCCCACCCACCGGCCATTTACTTTTTTCTGTTTTTTTCTTTTCATTCTCCCTCCCACCTAGCCCTGTATGCCACCTCCCTCCCCCTTCCCACTAACTCTGGATCTGCCCCACCCCCACCGGCCAGCTACCACAGCACTGCCCCCTTTTTTTTCTTTCTCTCGTTCTTCTTTCTCCCTCCCACCTAGCCCCGTATGCCACCTCCCCCCTTCCCACCAGCCCCCATCGCACAGCCATGGATAGAATGTCCCTGGCACTCAGGCCTACCACTGCACCAGGCCCACAATGCCCCTCCCCTCGGGCCACTTGACCAGCAGCTGAATGGT